TTTTTACTTTGTCCTTGATCTTTACCGTGACACTTACATCAACTCTGCATATGTGGTGTGTCTGATCTGTAGCTAGATTGCAGGGTTTTCTCATCTCTCACCTTGAAACTAGAACACAGAATTTCTTTATCCTCTGAGACCAGTTGCCATTTCTCCGTGATGCAATTCATCCACATCCACTCTTTTCATTTAAAATGTGCTGGAAAAAGAGAGGTTCTTTGGATGCTGGCTGCTTCCACGGGAAACCGGCTTGCCAAAGGCACTTCTTGGATTCAAGAGACTCAGCTGTTGGCAGGGAGCTCTTGGAGCATCTTGTGAATTATTTGTAATCCAGAGGCACTAAGGATTGGCCAGTATCAATGTCTGTATTGCCTAGCTTATTTCCCAGACAGTGCTGTATGGGACACTCGCTACTATTTGTTCTTTAACATCCTAATTACTTACGTGCTTATGCTTTCCCTTGGAAAAGGACTGACTTGGAGAGGTTTTCGCTTTGCCCAACTCCTTTTTTTCTTTTCTTTGGACAACGATGGGAAACATCACACTTGGAGCAAATGCTACTCGCTGGATATCCGATGCAGTTGCTGGTCGACCAAAGGCTACTACAGAGAGTGCTCATTTTCCTCCAGTTTCTTGGCTGACAGTGCTTATTTCTAATTCCTATGTATGGAGATAAAGCAGGAGGACACACTAGCTTCTCTGGCTGACTTCATTTCAGAAAGAGAGGCCTACTTTTTGAAGACAGAGGGGCTGTTCGCCAGCAGTCGATGGCTAGCACAAAAAAGAGCTAAAAGACTAACGCCAAAGTTTGAATTCAAGAGAGGAAGTCTGTATTAAGCGTAGTCCTCACCTACATTAGACCCAAACTATGAATAATGTGAACTGACCCATGAGTTACAACTCAAATGTAGGGAATTAAGTGTATTTGCAGAACTTGCAGAGCCAGTGTCACTCTTGAATCTGATTCTCAGCCACCAGCTGAGAATAATTTTTATTCTTATTTAATGACATGCTGAGGATTTTATGTAACCCCTCTTCTACGATGGGCTAGTATTTTGATTTGTTAGGAGTTTATGGTGACTGGAAAGACAGAAGATAATATGGGGCTCCTTCTTCCAAAACTAGTATCCTGTTTTGACTTTAGCATTGCCCTCTGGTGACTTTTAGCAGATACCCAGGGCCCTGCAGATTCTACCCTTGGAAGCTGAACTGGTGGCTTGGAATTTCACATTCTCCTTATACTTCCAATAGGTCCATACATCATGCAGGACAACTTCTCCCTGTCATCTCAACCCAGCCCAAATGTCCAGGTTTTAGGGGAGGGCTGCCCCTTTCTCCATTAAGAGTAGAGGTTAATG